AAAGTTTCAGATCAAAATTCAAAAATATGGCCTTGCTGCAAATGTGGGGTCTTATAGGAAAAATTCACTAAAACCTCGATATCTCACTAGGAACAAGCTAGGGGCACGAACTTTTTTTACGGTAGATATAATTCATCAAGACCTACAAGATGCGCAAAGTCTCGACTAAAAATCTCTCCAACACCTGGGAATGTTCCCTCGTAAGAGTATATAGTTTATGGAATGAAACTGAGATGATACGTTGAAAATGTCTATTATATTATTGCACATACACACACATCGATGATCATTCTCTTTTCTTCAATTTTTTTATCGATTTCCTATTTTTCATGGTAATTAAACGAAAAACAATTGTACATACATGTGCCAGGCGGAGAATCTTCGGAGATAGAATGTCGGATAACGGAAACATAGTATAGAGAGTAAATAATGGAAGATATGACGGCAATTATTAACAATATTAATGCAACAGTTTGCTTCAATACTATGAACAAATGAATGTACTTTCTCTTCATTGAAAATGATAATGAACAAATTTCTTTTTGGTTTTTTTTGAATATTTGTGAAATGATTGGAAAAGATTCGTTTGAGTTTTATTGAAGCAAGAAGAATTTTGATTTTAAAGTATCAGTATTGATTATAATTTATGAGATATCTATCTTTCTCACTCTATATGTAAGCAGCTTTTAGGTTGTATATTGTTTATAATTATTCTCATATAATATTCTACTGTGGTCAGTTGTCTGAAGACGATTTTAATAAACAATCAATGAAAAGTAAAATAAGTTCTAAATATTTGTGTTAAGTTTTGTATTCTAGAAGTACGATGATTAAAATAAGTGGTTTGCACATAAATGTGAATAAATACAAATTATTGATCTATGTTTAACTCAAATATCATAATTTTTCCTTTGCTCATTTTGGTATTATGATTGAAAAAAAACGATTTTTCAACAATAGCTAAAAAAACTTTTCATATTGTTGTTAAGCTTGTGTTAACGATACTATTACAATTCTACTTAGGATAATCCAAACATAGTGGCAGTAGTACTTGAAGGATGTTGTTTTGAGTGCCTATGTGCTATCTAGTAACGCCCACATCGACGGTCAAAATCGTACAAGCACCAGTGTGCTTAGTAGATCTTGGCGAATTCTACTTGTATCGTTCCAATATAAACTTGAATCTAGTCTTACACCGAGTCGTCACAAGAAACGCTCAAATCTTAACCTAAGATATCCTACGAGGAAAAACATGACTCACCAGTGTTCTTAGTGTCAATGACAAGTTTTTATAAAAAAGAGTAGATCTTAATAAACTTTAATGATCAAGAACATGATTTACAATAATTTAAAGTAAGATCTAAACTTGTCAAACGACGTTTTTATTATTAAATAACATTGTTCATTGGATATTTTATTAATATAATGAGTGAAGAAAATTTTTTTCTAATGAAATCATTGAAAAACATTCATAGAAATATAAATTATTTTACATGACAAAGAAATAGATTCTTTTACCATCATACTTGAGCAAATCAACTTCAAATATTCATGTGCATTTGACATCAGTCTCTAGTTTCATTTCTAAGACATTATTTAGATAATCAGCAAATGTTATTTTATTTATTAAATGAAGAACAAAAAAAACTATTTTCAACAAGACAATTTTTTTTCACAAAATATAATATAATGTTCACATTTGACCACCAGGAAATAATCACGTAAGCCAATATACGATAAACGCAGCCACTAACATGACATTAATGCCGACAACCATCTATAACAAAAATATATTGAGCTAGAAGGGTGATATTCGTTTTCGCATACTAATATACTTGGTAGTTCTTTTTCATTTACTCAGCTTATTATTTTATATTTTGCATTTAGCACCGAATTATCTTCTAAGAGAACAGCTGTACTTATGAATTTCATAAAATCTCATTTCCCAACAATTTTTGATATTCTCACGCATATCAAAACTAATTTTTTACGATCAGTGTTATCAAATCTTTCAGAAAAATTGTGGAATTTAAAATGCTTTTTATTTCTGAACTTCAAAAAAGATTCCTCAATCTTTCAGATTTTAGATTCTCTCACCTGGCAAATTTGTTTACGATCAAAAGTTGTGCTTGAATGATTTTCTGTTATGCTATTGATGATGTTATCAATTGATTGTTGAACTTCATATTGAAGAAATTGTTCTTTTATTTGATTGAATTCTTGCTTATAATCTTCAATTTTTTTATCATGATCTTGAAATTTTTGACTATGTTCTTGAATTATTACGTCATAATCTTGAACTTCTTCATCATAATCTTTAATTGTTTCATTATATTCGATTTCTTTAATAATAGAATCAATAGTTGATTGAACAAGATCGTGCTGGTCCTGTTCCCGTAACGTCGTCAATGTCTTATTACGATTTGCTAATGCTCGATTTGTTGCTCGAAAAGAAACTAAATCTCGTGCACGAGCACGTCGAAAATTTCTGGTGATTGCGAGTACGTGGTGTTGGTGGGAGTTAGCAGCAGATGGGATGTTCTACAAAGACAACACATTATTTTATCAAATAAAAGAAGAAGCAAATATTTGCATGCATCAATAACAATTTTTTTTCTGTTAGAAGAACGTGAAACGTGTTAGTTAGAACATTTTTTTCAGGAATAATAATACTTGAGCATTTAATAATGCGAATGGAACACCGACTCCTGGATTCATTTCACACCAGAAAATAATAACCAAGAAAAAATCTGAAGATATCTGCAAAAGAATAACAACGAAAATAAAGCAAAAAGAAGCGACCAACTTTGACATTCAGCTAATAGAAAGTTCAGAAAAAAATGACTAAAACTGTACTAATTACTACCGTATGAATAAAACCCATTATGCGGTTGCCCAGATGAAAATAGCCAAAAGCCAAGTATAATGCAGTGAATTCTAAGAGAATATGTTATTCTTTGTCTGTCTATTACATATATCGACAAATCAATGTTATTGTTCATTGTTACTTTGTTTTGTTCACACAGAATTTAACCACCAATGAAAAATTGATTTGATAGAGGATAATCTATGTCAAACATTCAAATAAAATCGACTGATAACAATCATTCCAAGATGACAATCTTGTTATCATTCGAGAATGATATTGATTAAATCGAATCGACATAACTAAATAGATTTGACCTAATAAAAATAATCTAAATTTAATCAAAAACAAATACATATCACCCCGGAGCGGTTTTGAAGGGTACGTTCTCGGTGAATAAAATTTTATTCACCGAGAACGTACCCTTCAAAACCGCTCCGGGGTGATATGAATTGCATTTCTTTGTTTGAATATTGTCGTTGAAATGTTTTTTTAAAAGTTAATCCTTCGGATAAGAATTCTATTGATCTACTACTTGATACGAATGACTCATTGCATCATTACTAAAACGAATCCATTTATGTACTTATTTCGGATCATCTCTAAATTGTCTAAATTAAAATGATGATTTCACAGGAAAACTATTCATAAATGATCACATCTTTCTATCATATTTTTACCATGACCATTTTTATTTTCTCGATTTTCTTCATGTAACAAAATAGCGTCATCTGCATTAAAACGAAACTCAAGACATAAGCCGAAAAGGTTGATGCGATTAGGGCACACCGCTTCAGCACATTCTGAAGTAAGGTGTCGCTTAATTTCATCACAGATTTACGAACTCAAAGAGATGAAAAGTTTCAAGTTTCCATGATACTATAGCATTCCGACATTGTCGAAAGACAACTAGCACAGAGCGTCCTCTATCACTTTTTCTGAAAATGACCAGCAAAATTTTTAGCAGAAATTTTAAGGATGTTATGCTGATTCTAAATATATATGAATCTCTTGATTTGCTTCATTTTACAAAAATTGTTCGCATAGTGCATTTAGAAATAACCACTAAAATATAAGCGCAATCATTTCATCAGACAGTAGATCATGTCTGTTGGTCTCGAAAAAACTCAAGATTTTTATGATAATAATCCGTATTCATTTATTCGATTACATAAATATTAATGTCAACGTAATTGTATTGAAAAAGACTTCATCAGCTGATTGAAGCTATTGGTCATGAATTAGCTGATAAAATAGAAATTATTCATTATTGAAATCTTTTAGCATTTATTTTAAGTAATTATATTTTATGCTTAGAAAAAAATATTTGCTTAAAGAAATGTTTCAAGAAAACTTAACTCGATTTTTCATTTTATTAATTCAATAAACCATATTTATACTAAATAGTTCATCACTATTTGAAAAGCTTCGTTATTAAAATTTACAAAAATAGAACTCATTCGTTTACTCATCGCGAATCAGTTCAGACAAAAAAAGATATAATATCCCGAAGTCCTAAAGCCAGTGAAAATCGATCATTTGCTCATTTCTGGGTTTTGTTCAAGAGTACTCTCAGTTCCCAGAACTGTTCATGGATTTGAAAAGTGAAAAAATTCATGACTTTTATGAATTTTATTCCAATGCACAAAAGAAATGACTTTTCAAATGATGAAGCGGACAAAAAAAATTGATGTAATTCAAATTCATGGATAAAATGAACATTTTAATCAAGAAAATGTGATGACAATGTTTTTTTTAATCAAAATCATAGCATTATAATGATGAAAATGTTGATTTTAATCAATGAATTTAAAATAAATCAATTTTCATGTCCGTTTCAAAAGTTTAATGTCTATTTTTTTATTTATTAGGTCTCTGGTGGTAACAGAGGATGACTGTTCTTGTGAGAGCTTCTGCGAAATTCTGATTAGCTAGCCGATGAGGCATTGTATAGTGGAATTTCAAAAGTTCGTACACTGACTCAAAAATCTTCATTCAACTCAAAGCTTTATCTGTAAGTAGGCATGACACAAACTTTTCTTAATCGACCATACATATCTAGAAAACTTTCTGTAAAAAATTTTAATATAAATCTTTTTACCTTATATTTTTACTACAAACAGAAGTTGAAAACTCTTGATAACAAGCATCAACCCGAGGTTGATCAGCCTTGATCCACAAAATATAGAAAAAAACACTGTCTTTGTCCTTGAACCTCAAAAAAGGCTTTTTTGACAGTTCTCGTATTCACGTGGAAAACCGCGGTTCTTGGTAATGAACATGCTATTGGTCGTCAAAATATAAAATCAAAAGATTCTTGTTTAGGTGCTTTTTTCCTGGTAGCGAGACCTTTGATAACTACTGCATCTATTATGATAACCTACGTGTAAAAAATCTTGGTACAAAAAGTTTTCTTTATTCTCTCCGTCCTGCTTAGATATTTTCTATCAATTTTTATACGATGTTGTAGCCTATTATCTGTGTATTCATTATGTGTAGAAATGTTGTATATGAGATGATTTGGTTTGAATGCAGAAGCTTGACGAAAGATGGTCTGGAAAAACTGTTTGTACAAGGAAAGTAGCAACAGAACTTTTTCGAAACCTACAGGATAGAGCCCATTTAATTGACAAATACAAGCACGCATACATAATAACTGATGGCCATCAAGAGGCAAAGCTTACTGTGTTTTCTAAGGCAAACGATATTAAGACTAAATAATACGGTCTACATTATTTGAATATTCGAAAACTAACTTCTACTCATGAAACAACGTACATTTTTTTCAGAATATTCTTTATGCCTGCATATTATATATAGCTGGGAAGCTTGAAGGATGCACTTCAAAACCAGCCACTTTGGAATAAATGTTAAGACTCTTTAGACCAAAAACAGGGTTAAAATTCTCTTTGCACCTAAACCTCACATCTTGAAAAACGAAATTCGAAAAAATTTCCTACACTTCACAGCTATTAGTTGTGAGATCCTTTTATATGAAACGACAAACCTGAGAGAGATGACCACACTAATATATGATAAGCCTAAGAAAGATTTTTATTTGAAGAAGAAATCAGTCAAAGAAGCAATCATACTACACATATTTTTACACTTTTTTTGCTGGCTTGTCCAAATCAAAATTTTAAGGGTATCATTTACAAAATCTCTCTATCTCAAGCTAATCATCTAACATGAAACATTTGTATATGAAATAAAAGTACGGAGAATAGGCTATAATATCCTATAAAATAGAAACATACATATCTAATCAGAGCAGAGAAAATGTTCAAAGAAATTTGTACCAAGACTTTTTACACGTAGGTTAAAGTAAATATTATGATTATCACTTTTCTTTAACTGAATTTGTATCGACTTTCTCTAATTATTATAGACTTTTATACCCCTTTTACACTACAGTTTGATCTGGCATTCAGTGCGACTCCGATTAATTCTATTGGACATTCAGTTAACTGATCTCTATGAGATGCGATGATCAGTTTTTTTGTTTTCTTTAATTTATTATAAATGTATAGGCCTGGGTGTGGATATCCCCGTTACACACATCTACTACCAAGTAATGTTTAGTAATTAGATATAATAGTTCAAAGAAAAATTGTGCATCATTGTAGGTACCTAAATGAAACAGGAGTAGATATAGGCTTTCGAACCTAAAATTATAGGATATTACATACGGATATGCATTCGCTAATCATTCAAGAATATTATATTTCAAAATAATCTTACTGTATGCTTCGTTTGTGCTTGTTGTGTTTGCTTCAGATGTTGATTTTTAACTGTGTTCTTGTCGCTTAATTCTTCCAGAAAGCCTGACAAAATTCTCCAGCTACTGTAGCATTTGGTATATTTTCACGAGAGTAAGTCTATCATCTATGCACTGATTGATCTTGAAAGATGCTGAAGAATTTTGTTGATGCATCTTGTTTTGGAAAACAAGATAGTCAAAGTTCAGAGTAAATCCAGTCCAAATCGACATTTTCTTTCATATCAAGACTATTTTTCGAAAATAACAATGTTTTAATAAAATTTGACTAAAAGTTTTTGAGATCAAGGAGTTAGAAATGTTTCAACATATGACTTGCACATGTATTCTAATTCACTGACATGTCTTTATAAGTAGACACAGAAGTCTAGTCCACTTGCTGAGAACGAAATCGAATCAACCTTAAGCTAGAAAATACGAGTTTGATTAGGTTCCTGCTTATTATTAGCAGTAAGATGTTAAACAAAAAAACAGAAGAAAACTACAGCAACTGATTTTATAGTTGTTTTATATCTACTAAACGTACTATGATGACTCATGAACACAAAATCTACTTGATATATACTCACTAAAATATTCGCAACGTACTTTAGGATTGTGATATGATTGTGTGAGAAAAATTTTTCAAATTGAAGTCTGATTGCAATACCATTCAATCACGCCTTGACCCTTTAAAAATATTTCTTTGATAATCAAATGTACATCGAAAAACTTAAATATTCGAATAAAAAGATACTAACAACAATGAAAATTTTATTTATTTCAACAAACAAAGTAAACTATATATTAACTATTGTATGACACAAGAGAAAGCAATGTGTTCTTACTTCCTACAGGAAAAGTTCTGTTTGCTACCGGCTTAATCGTCATCATAATTATCTCCATCAGAATCGTCACCATCTTTGTTGCTACTTTCTTCATTACCTATTCGTTTCTCTTCTAGTTCTTTTTCGAGTATAGTCTTCGTTAAGATTCCGAAAACAGCAGTTTTAATTGCATCCGAATCCGTAAAATCATAAGACTCAGCTCTTTCACGAGCAAATTGAATTTCTATAGCTGCGTTGTTTCTTGTATGAAAAGATTTGTAAAAATCGAAAAAGAAACCATTTTGTTTACTAAGTGGCTGATTTTTGTAGCTAAAAATATTGATTGCAGCATGTTTTTCGAACGTTCGTTTATACAAAGTAAATATAGCTTCAAGTTCTGTAGTTAATGGACCTTGTTTAGGATCATGATGAACGCATCGTTCAATTATTTCTTGAAAAATAAGACTCCTCTTAGTTAAAATAATTTGATGTTCTTCATCTTGATATGCATGTGAAGCCTCCGTAAACATGAAGTACAATGTAAGACCAAATGTGAATACGTCAAGGGATTGATCACATTTATGTTGGTAAAATTCTAGTGGCATATATGATATACATCCAGTATTTGTGACCATTTGTTGAGCTCTAGTTTCAATTCTATATGCAATACCTAGATCACCCATTTTAGCTGTATGATCTTCATCAACAAGAATGTTGTCAGGTCGAATATCACGATGAATCATCTTACGTCCATGTAATTTACGCATTCTACCAGCGATATTCAAAGCCATATTGAGCTTCGCTATATAGGAGAGTTTTTCTTTTTCAATGACTGTTGCCAAACTTCCTTTACTCATGTATTCCATAATTAACATGCATTGTACTTCACCATTACTATTCGTTAGTGTACGATGAACAAAACCATACAATTTGAGAATATATGCTGCTGATAATTCTTTTATATTTTATTTTATTTTCCAAAAGCATATTAGGTGCTAAAAAGATGAGATAAGAAGAGATAAGAAAAAATGATTTTTTCGCAGCGTCGAAAATTGGTCGCACAGAATTTTGCTTTTTTTGAAAACAAAAAGTACAAAATTAAAATACGCTTTACTTTGTACATTGTAGTTCTTTTCACGCTGCATCTTGTGGTATATTTTGTTTTTTTTAAATAATGCATTAAGTGTTGCAAAAATGAAATGGAAAAAGGCCGTTTTTTTGTCAGCGAGAGAGTCGTCGCTGTTAAGATATGCTACCCTCACATGATACACAATTTTGTGTGTAGTTTATCTTTTATTATTGACACCAATCAAATTGCATTTCGTGTTCTATCAGTTACTTTTTATCAGTTATCTTTTTTAAGTTTATGGAGATGGGTGTGGGGTATGGGTTTGGGTGAGGGTGTGAGTGTGACTGCTGTTTTGTTCTTCAACAACATAGCCACACCTACGTACACGCCGATCTATGCTGCGAATCATGAATTGACCAGTGGTCAGTGTTGGCCAGTTTTCGTCGATCAACATTTTGAAATGGTTGTAACTAACTTTTTTCTGGCGTATTTTTTATTCAAGTATGACTATTGGCTAGAGAAAATGAATCTCTTTCAATTTACATAATGCTAAGCTCACTGACGCATTCTGCTCAGTAGCTCTCGGCATTTTACTGAGACCGTTGAAATCGGCAAAATGATCTTTCCTTACTTTAAAATGGATCAAGCGACGACTAATTGATCATGTGAAATCCAGTCGTATCGTGTGTTTCCAACCTTAAAGTGATCTGGAGTTGCTAGATTAAGACTTTCAAAATATCGGTTCTTGATGTCAAACATCGGTAGTTACCACACTTTCAAATTTTGAGTTAAGCGGCTTCAAATCACTTTAAAGCTGAAAATAAACAACACTACTGGACTCAGCGTGACCAATTAGTCCTAGTTCGATCCATTTTAAAGTTAGAAAAGGTCATTTAGTCGATTTCAACGCTCTCAATAAAAGATCCATAGCACCTGAACAAAATTAGTCGGTGATCTTGGTCTTAGATAGAGCGAAAGAGATTCATTTTCTCTATCCAATGGTCATACTTGAATCAAAAATACGCCAGAAAAAATTTAGGATTATACGCGAATCGTTCAATAACCTTATATAGATTGCACATTGACCATTAACAGAGTATTATATTTTCAACAGTCACGACCACTCTTGTAACAAGAAAGTTTTTCTCACCTGTGATTAGACCTTCAAATGAGCTTCGAAAGATGTAAACAGTGTCTATTTTGACCAAATATTATCGGTCTATGTATACTAAATTAATGTCTTCTAAGAACGTAACGATCTCGAAAATAAACGAGACCTATTATATTTCGAAACAAAACAATTTTTCGATAATGACAAAATTTAAACAAAAAATTGCATCATTTCCGTTTTGTTTTTCTGCTTGGAAACGAAAAATAAAAACTGAGAAAACTATTTTTCAATCAAATCAAGGGGGAAACAGCGGAGACTTCAGCCGTGAAGTCCCGTGAAGTCTTGAAAGTCTTTTGAAGTCTTCTGAAGTCTCTTAAAGTCTCTTGAAGTTTTATGAATTCTCATGAAGTCTCTTGAAGTCTTTGAAGTCTCATAAAGTCTCCTGAAGTCTTCTGAAGTCTCATGAAGTCTAATGAAGTCTAATGAAGTCTCATGAATTCTTCTGAAAGTTTTGAAATACATTTAGTGCATGAAAATTCATAAGAAACCAATGAAATTGTCTTGTTTTCGGCGGTCTTATTATAGCAGAAAGGTGAATTATTTATTGGTTTTTTTCAATGTGCTGGAAAAAATTCAAACTTGTTTGGTCTTAGTAAACATGATAGTTAATAACTGAATGCTTTTTGAATCAAGTGGTTTATTTTTATAAGAAATTTTCCATCTATCCAAATCAATCTGATGAAGAATTTTAATCCTTTTTGTTTGTTTCTATCACTCGTGATAATCTATCAGCCAATAAACGGNATTAATTAATTTTTTATATGTTTCTATGGCCTTACTGTGTTCTCGGCTACTGTTCGTCTTGCAGAAAAAATTGCTAATCAAAGACATTTTATTATGAAATATGACTTTGAAGTACCTGTACATGATATTATCGGTCGACAAAAGGGTATAAATAAGATATGTATATTGAATAGGACTAGTCTTTCTCAGACAAGAATAATTCGTACGTCAGAAAAAAGGATGAGAGATTGTTTTGTGAAGTAAGATAGTCACTACATCTTCCATTTGACGTATTCGAGTGTGAGGAAATTCTACATGTTACTGTTGCATTTTGTTTATAGGCATTCGAAGTCTATCATGTAGAATTCACATGTGTTCTTTAATCTCATTATACTAAAACAAAATACATTAAGTGAAAGGTCTCTAGAAGACTGTAGTTGTTTCTAAGGATAATCAATCGCCAGGAGATCGATCTGTCTTATTTATTTCTGTATTTCGAACAGAATCTTTTTTTTGGTTTTTGCTTGCGTTCACTATTATTTTCGTAGTCCGGTTTTTTTTACATTAACACTATTATGATATTAATCATTGATTTAACTTTCAAATTAGACTGTTGTACAGATTCAGTATGTATAGAGTAGGTCTAAATGCACTATTATCTCTATCGACAAGCTCAAAAACACTGATATTAATTATTTTCCAAAGATACAAGTTGATCAGTCATATTTTCTATGTTGATCATATGACGATTGCAACAAATCAATCTACCACTACTTGTCATGCTTGACATCTTGAATATAAATTTTTATTTGCGCAAAACTAAAAAAAAGGCACTATTTGGAGCACTCACAAATGTATTCCAACGATGAAAGCTTCGAGAAAGACTTTGAAATGTTCTAAAATAGTCTAAGTCTTGTCGTTAATGTTGTTTAACGTCTTTTACGTTGCTAAGGAACTGTAGGAAAAAATCTGACATCGTACCCGATTGATCGTTAGCCTTCTTCACCCTTCGCTGCTATGGAGGAAGCCACAAAATCTCAAATTAAAACTTACATTTACTATATTTTTCTTCAAAATATATAATGTAAGTTTTCACAAAACTGAATCAATAAACATTATGGATTCATTCATTCATACATAATCATAAAATATACTAGATTGGATTCAAATCTGTCCCATTTCTAATTAGCTTTGAAAGCTAAACAACAGTACCTAATATAGTCAACTATATTACAATGAGATATTCATGTTCTTTTATTTTTATCAATTATGTTCATTATCAAAAGTTCTAATAATCTGAAAATCGACTGTTTTTCATTGATGCTAATAAAGATTACCAAGAACATTCTAGATCATTCTTATTTTATGTACTTTTATGATGTTTAGTAACAAAAACAGACTCAATGCGGAAAATTATTGAACATATTGATGCAAGACATTGGCGTACATTAGATTATTTTCGAATATTGAACAACCAAAATAAGTTACAAGCACAAAATGCAACAATTTCTCATAAGATTTCAGTAAGAATCTTTTTCTTCATAACAATATTTTGTTTTGATTTTCAATTTTAATATTAGAAAACTGATGCAGAATCTGAAACTGATACAGTAGAAAAGATTCAGCGATATATGACCGATGGAATAGTTCAACCTTTTACATATAAGTATGAAGATTCTTTTAGATTGAGAGTTTCATAAAATTATTTTATTATTATTTGTTTTAGAAATTTAAATAATGTAATTAATCAACAACGAATACGTAATCGATTACAAAAAGTTCGTCAGGAAAAACAAGAAAAAGATATGAAAAACAGAAATAAAAAAATTTTACAAACTGTCAATGAATATTTTCCAGATATTAACATTATTAGTAAACAAGAAAAACATCGAGAAACTATTGAACAATTAGCAAAACCTCGAATGTTTAGTACAAATGAAAATACTTAATTTATTCAATTTCGACGAACTCTATTTTGAAACTTTTATCATTGACACACAATGTGTCTTGTGATAAATTGTAATAACTCAGAATTCATTTATTAAATATTGTATTACTTCGATAAGAACAAGATCTTTTTCAAGATTTAACTAGATGAGTATTTGTATTAAACGATCCGATTCTTGTTTTCAAAAACTAATAGATTTCACTATTTTTTGAATAACTTTTGATAGGAACAACATAGAGACTTGGAATTTTCACCATTCAAGAGAGAAGAATCTGACCTATGTATGTATGCCGAAATTCTGACAGACCAACGACTGATCGATGAGTTCAATTCTCTGCGACACATTTGAAAAAGATATTTTGAAGCCATTCTCCATTGGATTTTGACTTGGAGAGGGCTGGACAATATCCCCAAAAATCGAAAAAGTGTTCCATTTACAGCGGAAATGCTTCCACCCACATAAAGTCATGCAGAAACACTTCTTTAAAAAACACAATTAATTCTCTCGAATCAATCACCAACAGATATTCTCAAAATTGAACAAGTAGAAATTCTTCATCCATTTCTCCTTCATAAGAAGAGATGGAAAATAGATAAGCGGAAATCAATCGTATTCTTTTTCATTTCTATGGATGAATTCTAGGAGAAATAGTTTTTAATAAAGAAAAATCGAAATAATGCAAGAACAGTGAATCATAGATATATATTTATTTTCCTTTTATTCGTTTCTCTTTGATAAGTAGGGCTTTGTGTGAGGTCAACCATGTCTGCTGAAACAGGAACAATTTTCCTGTCAATTGATTCTATTGTTCATTGCTGTTTAAAACGGGAAACAAACGTTATCATTCGACTCAGCATGATGAAATACTTCTGTCTTGATGTCTTTTGGAGCCTTCCAAGATCAAATCCCTGAGATCGGATTATCAGGGAAACTCTCGTAATGCCAGAACGGATTACACTAGAA